GCGTGTATTATGTTTATTTGTATGTAAGAATCTGTGCAAATGACATCAATCATGTCTAAAAGGTTTCCCGCTAATAAAGTATTCAGTTTCTGGTGATACCAAGAACCTCCCGCCCCAGACCCTTGCTCGTTGTTGTCGTTGGGGGGGGGGGGGGGGGGCTTAGGAGACGGAGACTAAGGCCCAACATAGAAGAGCACCTCTATCTTGGACCTCAGACTTTTTTCTCCCCCTTTCCTTTTCTTTCTCTTCATCCCCTTCTGTCCACATCCTACGGTGTGAGAGCCGTGGTGAAAGGGTGAAAGGCTTTCTTTGCGTCAGTCTTGAATGGCCTTCGTACTCCGTTTGCTCTTCCCTCTGCACCCTTTTCACAGCGCTCTACAACTTCTAACATATTTTGTCCTAATCGTTATCTCTTTTTCCCCTTTTCACCACAATACTTTATCATAGTGCTTTATGACCTTTGTCCATCATCCACAAACATCGCCTCATGGACCAAAAAAATTCCCTTACCCGGGGGATTCGCCCCCAAGCCACATGCAGTCGCTACATTTTGAATACGCCGTTAATGACCTTAGATGGTGACGCGACAGAAATTTTCAATAAACAATGATTCTATGCGTAGTATATACAAAAAGATAAGCAAATGTAAAATGCTTCAAAAAGACGCTATTTCGATTCTCGGTGATTCAGCTTATGAATGAATTGTATGACGATGTTCAACTTGAGTGTCAGGAAGAAGCACGGTATGGAGAGCCAGACATTCAGTGCTGCGAAAAAAAATAAAAATACTAGTGCATATGCCGTTTCAGCAAAGGTATACATACAGCACACTAAAACATCCTTGAGTATTTTATGATAAAACCACATTCTTGCTTGGTGTACTTGCCCAAAATCGTGCCAGGTTGTATTAAGTATACTCTAAGTAGAAAAGCTTGATTCTAACCCTTTTCATGCCACTGTATTTCAAGATAAGGGGGCGAGTTTTGCGTTTAATTATGATTGATATAAAGGGCTTGTCGATTGTCATTTCATTCGCATATAGATGAAAATGAGCCTTAAGATTTGTTATTAATCTATTTCCAAGAAAACAAATTTATATGAATACTGCCCCAGCAGCGCCATTATATTTCATTAACTCATGGGTTCGCTAAGACAACTCAGAAAAAGTCCTACCTCCTGCGGCACCGCTAAGACGAAGGGGATGTCGAGGATGCAGTCCCCTCTGAGGGTGCCGAGGGACGCCTTCACTCGCACCACGTACGACACGTAGACCCCAAACACGTCGTTCTTGTCGACTTCGGGGTTGAGGATGGTGGTGGGAGCGATGACGTCATCACAGTCCGCCCTCAGGCCCCCTTGGAGAAACACTTTGCCCCTTGCTCTGTGGGAGGCAGAGGAGGGGTTCACGGATTTAGGGATTTAGTCTGGATTTCCAGCCCGTAGACACTAAAATTGATTCTAGGGATCTTTCATGGCCGGTAAATTGCTAGCGTATGTCAACGTGTGGTTTAAGAATGGGGAAAAGAAATATAAAATGTGAAGAAAATATTTCAGAAGATCTTTAAAACTGCAAACAAAGACGCGTCTCTGAAACTCACGTCCTGGAAGGCACGCAGCACATGAGCGTGACGCCACGGGTGGTGCAGGCCCCGGGGGCGAGGTTGATCGGATCGTCGTACTTGATAATGGTCTTGTCACGAGTCTGGCGGTCACTGAACATCGGAACTTCGCTGAGCTGTACGACTTTCATCTGAGGGTAAGTGGTGGAAACATTTATCATGTTCAGCGAATTAGACACTGCTTTGCAAAAAAGAAGAATGACTCGTAGTTCCAATGACCGCACAACCCTAACGCTCTGTGTACCAAAGCACATTTATATGTATATATATATATATATATATATATATATATATTATATAATATATATATATATATATATATATATATATATATATAATATATATAATATATATATACTCGTATATGTAAGACACCAAACTCAGATAACAATAAGATTATAGAAAAACTGTACCTTCAACCTCTTGATATCCCTGTTAGTGTCGTTCCTAATAGCAATTTTAACGGGAATGTCTTCCTCGGGTTCATAAACAGGCTTAGACAACGAGGCTTCGATGGAGACATTGCCTGCCGTCGTAAGGAAGCTCTTTGTTATGCTGCCTCGGGGCACCGGCGCCTCGTACAGGGCCTTAGGACACTCCTGCAGACGGCGGATCAGGAGGCGGGCAGTGCTCCTGTGGAAGACGGAGGTCAGTTCGTGGGATTCTTGCGGTCATAACTCGCCTTACTAATTAGATGGTAATTAACATATAATTCCTTAAGTACGACACGCAATACTTTTTCTAAGGAACCCGTGGCAGTCATACTATGTAAACCGAAGCTCCTCCAACGTCCATGCACAGTAAAGTAAGTCCAACACTCACCTCTTGGGCATGTCATGCTCTGTTGCGCCTATGTATCCCATGACCTCAAACTCCACTCC